TTTTCCTGCCGAAGTTAGGTTTTTCCTTCTTCCTGAAGTTTTTCCTCTCTAGGCCTTTCCCTCCTTTCAAGAATATCGTGTCTCATTTTATCATCCCTCTGGCCAGTCGACTTCATTTTCTCAAGGGAAAAATAAGAAGTAACAACCTTTTCCAAGAAGTGGGCTTTGACAAGTTTTCTCTTCCATATTTTTTTTCTCAGAAAAAGGACGGATGGTTTACCCCCTCCAAAAGATCGGCATAACCATTATTACCAAATCCAGCATTGTTTATTTGTTGACGGTTAGACTAGATACGTCTAAGAAACCAGTGCACACTATTATTGGTTGAATCTCTAGGTGCTGCGCCTTATGGGAATCTAGTAGGACAATACGTGAAGACTAGGGATTCTAGTTACCCCGCAAACAGAGCTGGTGACATTAATCGTTCACTCCTCGACAATGTAGATCTCTTGTGCAAGGTTAGGTAACAATGTCTATAAGAAAACCATATTCAACTCTATTCACTGGACACTTCCACCACACTTGAAAAGTGGATATGCCAAATCCTTTTTGTGACTTGAAGACCAACTTGCATAAAGTGGTTGCAGCACCTTCATGCATCAAGGTAACCAATTATGAATCAAATCTGGCAGTAATGTCATCACCGACTTCTCTTGCCGTACATCAAGCCATATTTGGAAAGCAAGGGTACTAATCCTACTTATGACTTGGAGGCCAACCTGTGAAACTATGGCTGCAGTGCCTTCATGTGTTTAGGTAATCAAATTAACTCTAGGAAACTAGATACCACCCCAAGGGTTTAATATAGGTTTTGAAATTAATTTTACTATATTTCTTGAAGGGTGCCCAGAGCAAAAATGGGGGACCAATATATGTCTTGCATTTAACTCTACTTATAGCTTAGAGAGATGTATATCTTTCCTAAAATTGTAAATCTTCACTGAAGTCACAACTTACAATAAAATTACCGATCGATAATTATTTTTGCTCTTAAAAAAAAAAAAAAAAAAAAAAAAAAATTTATAAAGATATTAAGATTTTTTAAAAATATGAATTTCAAAATAAAATTATTGTTATAGTTAAGAAAAAAAAATTCTAATTTTTTATATAATAGTAAAGATTATAAAAAAAATATTAAAGGTTTCAAGTCTATTTGTGTTAAGTTTTATTAATATTAGTCATATCTGAAATAAGTTTTTAAAAAAAAGAAGGTTGAAAATAATTGTAAAATTAAAACATATATTTTTGAGATTTTAATGTTTTTAAAAATAATAATAGTTAAAAGGTTTTGAATATTAATAATAAAAATATTCAAAAAAATATATTTATATTTATTGATTGAAGATTCTTTGAAAAGAAGTTTTTTAGAGCCTTTAGATATTTGTTTTTTATAAGAAAAAATTTTAAAGATTTTTTTTAATAATTTTTATCAAATATAATAAAAGTGAAAAAAAGTTTTTCAAAATAAATAAATATTTTAAATTAAATATATTAATTTATAATAAAAAAATTAAATATATTAATTTATAATAAAAAAATTAAATATATTAATTTATAATAAAAAAAAATATATTTTTTTTTTATAAGTTAAAAAAATTTTTAATTTAATTTAATTTTTTTAAAATATATATTTAAAATACAGAGAATAGACAAAAGTTTATAAACAACTTTTTTTTTTTTAAATAAAATTTAATTTAAAAACTAATTTAACTTTATTAATAAAAAATATATTTAATATATATATACAACATATTCAATTTTTAAAAATGTTTTATTATATAAAAAAATTTTTTTTTTTATTTACTTGAAAATTTCACTTCAATTTTTGTGTAACTGCTAATGCCTGCTAATAAAAAATTAACTTCTGAACAAAAAGCAGCCATTATTTATGGTTACAAAAAAAAAGATACCTATCATAATATTGTAGCCAATATCAGATGCAAAAAAAGTGTGGTGGGTAACGTTATAAAGTGTTTTATTGAAACTGGATCCACAGAATTACGAATACAATGATTGGAATGATCAGGACGACCATGACTCCTCAATAAGCATGCTTGTACCACCCTAAAAAAACTTGTTACCAGCAAAAAGAATAACAGACATATTATTGCCACAAAACTAACCTATTTTTTTATAGCCAAAATGGAAATCCAAGTATCTGAAAAAACCATTCATTGAACCCTGTATGAAGAACAGTTAAGAAGCTGTATCACCCACCCCAAGCCCTTCCTTTCAGAAAAAAATATTAAAGATCAACTTATCTGATACCTTGCATGTAAAAACTGAATCATTCGAGATTTCAAAAAAGTAGTCTGAAGCAACGAGTCTATGTTTACTTAATTTCAGCAAGGAAGTAAATGTCATGTTTGGCGTAGTCCATGCAAAGAGTGAAATGCTGAATGCCTTTCTGCCACCGTTAACCATAACCCAAGCCATATATATTGGGAGTGTTTTTTATGATTCGGTATTGGCCCCCTTGTTCTTCTTCATACCTGGATTAAAGGTAAGATAAAATGTTTATTAAATAAAAAAAAATTTTTTTCAATTTACTATAAAAAAAAAAAAATTTGACTTATCTTTTTTCCCTTATAGTGAAGTCATATATTACAACTTTTCAAGATTATCTTTTGCCAGCCCTTTGAAATTTCAATGGAACCAATTGGAATTATAATAGTCACCCTTGGTTTCAACATGATAATATAAGGTCACATACCGTGAAAATTACGAAGAAGTTTCTTGTTGATAAAAATATTCAAGTTATGGACTGGCCTTCTCGAAGTTCAGATCTTAACCTGATCAAAAACCTCTGGCATTATATTAAAGTTCGGATTTGTGAGATCAAACCTAATAATTTAATAGAGCTCGAGAATTGTGTTTTAAAATATTGAAATAAGATCGATCCGGTATATTGCAAACAATTGATCAAGAGTATGCCACGTCATATTATGGCTTGTATCGTGGCTAAAAGGGAGACTACAAAATATTAAAAAAAATACAATTAGCTAAATAGATATCTATAAATCAATAGAACATAAATTAATAATAAAAAAATGTGTAATTAAATATTTAAAAAATTTTAATTTTAATTTTTTTTTTTTTTATATATTATTCTTGTTAAATAAAAAATTTGAAAAAAATTTTAAAATTTTTTTTCTTAAAAACTATTGTATAATTTTTTTGAAATTTTTTTATTTAAAAGTTTAGTTTTTAAAGATTTTAAATATATTTTTTATTTATTTAATTTTTTATTAATTTAATTTAATTTTTAATTTTTAAAGTTGTTCATAAACTTTTGTCCACCCACTATATTATTTACAATTGAATATAGTTTGGCTTTGATCTTTCAAAACTAAGGTTTTAATATCTAACTTTAAAAAGAAGCAAATTTATTATTTATTACAATTATATCTAAAAATTTATTTAGGATTTTAAAAGTTTAAGATAGTTAATATCATATAGTAATAACTTAATAAATCTATTTCCTTGTAATAAAATAGTTAGCAAATAATTAAATCATATAGGCAATATGGAGATCTTGATATTAAGATTTAGAATCATATACAAATTCACAAATAACTTATTGACAAGTGTTCTACTACAAAAGAATGGTTTATCTTTAGTATAATATCATATTGTATATTGTATTATTGTTTACATAAATGGATTAATAAATGATTATTAGCAGTTTGATTAAAGGAAAAAAAATTTTTTTTTTAAATATTACTTTTATTCAACTATTATTTATTAAGTTATAATAAAAAATAATTATTCAAGACCTATGGGTCCATAGTGGTTAGTGCTTCACAGGTCAGATCACAAGATATTAGTTTAATTCTATATGAAGGCGATTGTACAGAATTAATATGATATCTGGCACCATAACCATTTATGTGCTGTTTCTTGTAAGAAGCCAGTTCACACGCCGATCTGGTGGATGTCAAGATTGTGGTTTCCAGAAAAGGCGATGTGGTGTGACAATCGTCTGGTTGATATCACAATGATTATCTGAAGAAAGAAGATGAAGAAGGTGATGAGGTGTTCGCTTTCGAGTAAGATAACTTGGTGATCGTTTCCCTGTGATACCTGGTATCTCTTCCTGTCAAGATGATTGCCTCTATAGAGTTCTATTTGTCACAATAGGTATTACCCCCAGTCCCCCCTTCCACTTTCCCTTATAATATTCCCGGTTAGAAATAGAACGTCACATGGTAACATGAAATAAGGCATTTGAAGGGATCATTGTTAGGAAACATTTACGTGCACATAGTGAGTAGTACAGTGACTATGTAAGAGTTACGCCCTGCTTGGCATTTATGCCCCTAGATTTGGCAGCTTAAGTTAACTGTAAGCCTATGGAATGTCTACTAGGAGATTTAGGAGTCATGTTCCACTTGGTCAGCAACCGAGCCCCCAGATTTGATAGTGTGTGCCAATCATAGGAACAATTCATGAAGCATTTACTAGAAAGTATATATGAGTGTGAAAATTCCGATGCAGCTGCATGATCCAAACCAATGTGATTGACAAAATGACTTACAGAAGATTAGCATGTGCTTGATGAGAATGGACCTTCAATCCCAAGTATGAATCTACCCACATGGTGTAAAGTTGGTACTCGGGCAGAAATGGGTGGGTAGCGTCGGTTAAATAGACTGTTCATGTAATGACTTGTAATCTATAATTGATTAATAAAAGCCATGCATGTATCACACTTAGCTCAAAAAAAAAAATAATAATAATTATTCAATTATTTTTGAATACCACTGTATATAACTTTATAAATTTAATGTTGATTTTTTAAAATCAAGTTAACAATTAAAAATTAATTAATAAAATTTTTCATAAAGATTTTTAAATTATAAAAAAAATATAATTACATAACAACAAATATAATATTATGATCGTATTACTTGAAATTACTTTTATTAACAATATTGCTAATTATATTTACACGCAAAATCTAGTTCTAAACTGAAGCAATTGTAATAATTCAACGAACTTTAATCATAATAATTCTGGATAATTGAATCATCTTCCATAATCTCCATATCTTCCACGTCCAGAATGTTCTCTATATTTTGACTATTCTCAAATATATCCATTTGTTTACTTACTTCATTACCCGTCACTGATTTTTCAGTAGACATGGTCTTTGATAAGGAATCATAGACCATTGTAAACGTAGGACGCATAAGATGAAGTTCACGTGCACTCACATTATTTACCTAATTTAATGCTTCATTAATTTCTGCGAACGATTAAAGATTGATAAAAACGAGAATATTAAAATACCCTGATTGGAACGGGATCCAGGTTCACTAAACCGTCCCTGATCTTATTTTCTCTCAACTCCTTGATGTTCTGTAATTTATATCTGAGTTTATCCGGTTCTACTAGATCATCTTCAGCCCTTTAAATGACATTTGATAAGTATAGAAATTAGTTTAAGTCAAATACGAACATTCGGGATAAATTCCAATAATAACTGCCTGATTCGTACGAACGCAGCAACATTCGCGAGATTTCAAAATAATAAAAAGGAACGGGACTAAATTCCGGATGATTTTGTTCTCTTTCCAGTAGGGTATCAAGTTTGCCTGGGATTAGGTTTAGATACATTGATCAATTATGCCATCTAACAAAGTTGGGTAATAAAATATTCATAAATTACCAACGCTAAGCCATTCAGGAGAAATTATTTTACATAATCGTCGTGACTTTAAAGACAACGCAACCCAAAGAGGTACTTTGACTTTTTTAGGAGGTCGAAACGGGCCATACATTTTCTAATTTTATTCAACACGTTCTAATAAATAGAAGATATAAAAACTCGAGCAAAATTTTTATTTACATACCCCTGAAAGTGTGAAACTCTCAGTTTTGATGAAGGGTTCAATCGTTATTAACTCGGATTCAGCAAAGAACCTTAAATCATCAGTAGTAAAGGTTTCTGGTGTTGCCATATTTTTCAAGTTTGATAGAAACGCGTCAAACAGTTTATATAGTCAGCACTTCATTTTATCACGTGATTTTATTACAATTAAAAACCATAAATACTGATATAATAACAATTATATTTTATTAAATGTTAATAAATAATTTAATACAGTTTATCTAAAAAGTCTTTGGACAAATATTTTTTATAATAAATAAATAAGTATTAATGTATTTAATATAAAACTTTAAATATATACAGTATATTAATTAAATATATACAGTATATTAATTAAATATATATAAAAGTATATAATAAAATAATAATATTTTGTTTTGTTTTGTTTTTTTTTTAATAGTAAAATAGTATTAGATATAGGATTTTATTGAATAATCATCAATTTTATATTATATCAAACATTATCTATTGTTATTACAACAGCTAAATATTAGTTTATCTACTTATTGTTTCAGTGATACTAATGATATTTATGAAATAGGTTTATATTTTTTGAAAAAAAACCTATCTAAGGAATAGAAATCTTATCACTAGTTTTAAACTATCTAATCTACTGGTTCAATTTTGTATAAGAGCAATAAATACTGCTGACTATTTTCTAAGATTATTTATTATATTATATTTTTTTGTTTATTTAGCTAATATAGCAGAAGGATTTTAATATAAATATATACTTCCTAATAAATACTTCAGTTTTGATTTACTAATTGATATTGATTATTAAATCTAGGGGCTTTTGTGACCAAATGGGATATAACTTTTTAAGGATTATATAAATTATGTTAAACAAGTTTTCAAAGTTCTTTATCTTTTAATAAACACTTTAGTTTGAAACCAATTGATATAGACTATTAAATCTAAGGATATAAATATTAAGCAAGGATAACTCCTATATATATAATAAGCTGTTGGGATAACTATATTACATAAAACAGTAATATCGATTTAATACTTTCTTTTAAAGTTTCCTTATTTGATAATTAACAAGAAAGGAAAGTATTATACAGATTTGATAAAATAAAATACAATTCATTCTATATATTCAAATAAATAATTGTTTTTAAAAGTTGATAAGAATTGATTAAGATAAAATATAGTCCAGTCTATATATTTAAATATATGGTGATATTTTTCATTAAACAATTATTATAATATCAACTGGATAATTATTATATTATTATATCTTAATAAAAATCTATATTTTTTTTTAATATAACAGATTTTTAGTATAATATATTAATATAAAAATATTTTATTTTAAAAAAGATTATCAAGTAAAATACTAATATAAAAACTTCTTTGGAAAATCTTTAATAATTTATTGATATATAAATATTATACTGTATATTGTATAATATTTATATTTTTAAATTTGATAACTTAAGTTAATCAAAAGTCTTTAAAATATTTATTAAAAGATTTAGAAGTTATATTTTATTTGATTAATTGGTCTTTAAATTTTGTAGCTATAATTAATTAAAAATTTTATTTTTAAAATACTTATTAAAAATTAAATAAAAATAAAAAAATTCAAAAATTAAAATAAAAATTCAAAAAAATTAAAATGAAATTAAAAAAATTTCAAAAAAAAAATTAAAAAAAATTAAAATGAAATTAAAAAAAATTTAAAATGAAATTAAAAAAAATTCAAAATGAAAATTAAAAAAAAATTCAAAATGAAAATTAAAAATAAATTTAAAATAAAAATTAAAAAAAATAAATTCAAAATGAAATTAAAAAAAATTCAAAATGAAAATTAAAAAAAATTAAAATTAAAATTAAAAAAAATTAAAATTAAAATTAAAAAAAACCAAAATTAAAATTAAAAAAAACCAAAATTAAAAATTAAAAAAATTAAAAAAAAAATTAAAATTAAAATTAAAATTCAAAATTCAAAAAAATTAAAATGAAAATTTAAAAAAATTAAAAAATTAGAATTAAAATTAAAATTAAAAAATTAAAATTAAAAAAAAAATTAAAAAAAAAATTAAAATTAAAATTAAAATTAAAAAATTAAATTTAAAAAAAAATTAAAATTAAAAAAAAAATTAAAAAATTAAAATTAAAAATTAAAATTAAAAAAAAAAAATTAATATTAAAATTAAATTAAAATTAAAAAATTAAAATTAAAAAAAAAATTTAAAAAAAAATTTAAAAATTAAAAAAAAATTTAAAAAAAAATTAGAATTAAAATTAAAAATTAATATTAAAAAAAAAATTAATATTAAAAATAATTTTATTTAATTATTTTAATAAACTTTATAAATCAAAATTAAATCAACAGGTTTTAAAATATAGATTATATTTTCACTAATACAAAAAGAATAATTTGTAAAAATAATTATTTATATAATTTTTTTATAACAATATAATCAAACCTGTGAAAATAAGTGAATAATAGTTTTATAAAAACGCCAAATGCTTGTAAATTGGATATATAATCACTTTATAAAAATTAATGCATCAAGTGCCTTTTATTCAAAATAATAATATATTATTTTTATTTTTATTAATTTATTTTTAAAATAAAGATTAAACTCATTTGATTTTCTATTTGAATTGACTAATAGAATGTCCAAATCCATCTAAATTAAATAATATACTGTATCTTAATTATGTATTTGTATAATAAAATCGAATTTTGATTTTTCAAAAAATTATATTGTAATAGAATTAAGTAAAACATGACAAGTAATTCAAAAATATACTGTATTTTTATTTAATTTACAGTATAAGTATATATTTATTATTTAATTCGAGATTTTAATTAAGTCAAAAAAAAAAAAGAAAAACTTGAAATTCAAAAAAAAATGATCACAAAGTTTGCCCAGGTGTCAACAGGTATCGATTAAGATCATGTCATTAATCATAATTCGCGATGGTGGTTGTTACTAAACCCATCTAACAGATAAAGAGAGCAATACAATATTAGGAATTATTTACAATGATAACCAGTAATACGCGAAAAAAAGTTTCCGGATATGACACCAGTTTCCACGATTTGCGACCTCCTTTATTTCGTAATGGTAATTTTTAGCGTTATAAGACTATAAATATTTATATATGTACA